AATCTGTCTTCTGCTCATAGTTTACCACTTTAAGAGAAAACACCCTGGTTTTCAAAAGCTGCTGTCCACCCACAGCTCCCATTAATGGTTCCCCTGTATAGTTTGTTCTCTCTGTCTGGGTGTTTCTCAAAGCAATAGGGGAGAAGAAGAAAAAAATCAAGATAGGAAAATAATTATAAAACCACAAAAACAACCAGATGGACTCAAGTTGCATGTGAAACTATTTTAAACTCATTTAAAAATGGACATTTCAAGTTGATAGTGCCCTTTTCAATATCAGAAGCAAAGTTATATCACTGCTCTTACCCCTCTCAAAATAGGTCAGAGCTTGCTCCAGATGGTCTTGTGTGCTGTTGTCTGCCTCGTCACTGGCAGATTGCTGCTTCCCTTTCTCATGTTTCTGGGCACTTTTCAAGTCCGCAGGCTTTGGGCCAGCTGTTCTCTCTCCTATTTGCCATGCAGAGAGGCTACTACGGCGAACCTGCAAAGCCTGCTTTGGATTCTTGGCATTCTCTCTTTGCTGCATCCCTTCAGTCTCCCAGCTGGGAAGGGCGAATTAAGTACTGACTCATCTGCCAGTCTGGTTCCAAATCTTTCCCCCAAAGAGGCAAGAATATAAATCAAGGCCCCAAAGCCAGATATACCTCCAGCAGTTGAAGAACATCAAAGAGCCACTTGCCTGCAAGAAGATGAAAGTCAGTTTATCCACAGCCTTTCCAACAAACCCACTACAGGATTCGGCATAAAGTAACTAACTATGACTTGCCATAAACCACTTAGAGCAGCATGTGCCCCAGAAAGGTCAGATAACCCAGTTAGAAGAGTATCTATATACACAGGCCATCCAGTGTGTACAGACAAGCCCAATTCTTCCCTCCAGCAGAGAAAGATGAAGGAAAGCTCACACGTAGGAATTTTTTAAGGGGAATATGTCATCTTGAAAATTAAGTGTCTGAAAGACATTTACAATTATAACACATAACACTGAAAAAGTTAGCAAAAATAACCAAAACAGAAGAAATGCTGGGGATTACTATTCTATCCCATGCACAAGCAGTTTGGTATTGTTGTCTCTCCAGGCCACCGAAGTCCCCCTGGCTAGAAAGGTTCTTAGATACATCAGTAACAGAGCAGAAAAACAAACACATATATTCTACAATAATCAATATTTAAACATTCAAGTTGACAGGGCCCCTTTAAATAACCCACAGCTCTGAATTGCCAGTAAAGGGGGAAAGAACAATGCAGAGACAGAAACAGGACCGTGAGCAGTGAAATCAGGCAGGAGGCTGCCCATCTCCCACATGTCTAGTGATCCCTGCTCTGCGGGCTCACACCCCGCGCTCCCAGCTCCCCATCTTCTGGGCCATTGCTCTGCGCTCGGCACCCGCAGCAGCGCCCTCAGCGTGGAGCACCCAAAGGCCCCCGCGCTGCTCGGAGCTGTCCCGGCCCTAGCGAGGCTCAGAGCCCGACCTCAGACAGGCCTGCGAGGTGCCCAGCTATCCTGCGCTGCCAGCCCTTGGGCCCTGCGCGAGGACTGCCAGCCCCCGCCTCCCTCCCCCGCCGGTGGTTACCGACCGGCCCCGTAACACGCCTGTCCCCCAGATATCTACTTCCTCAGGTGGCTGCCCACGCTGCCATGGTAACATCCCCTTTACCTGACTCCACTGTTACGGGTTTTTTTTTAACCGTCCGAATCAATTCAAACCCCCGCGCCACTCCCTACGCATGCGCAGAACGCAATCGTAAGGCAGTAGTTAGAGCGAGGAGGTGATCATTGCGCGCGCGCGTGGAGCTCGCGGGTGAGGATTGGTCGGACAAAAACTGACCTCATGAGAGCGTCAATGTTCCTTGTGAGCATGCGCAACTTCCCACGCGGGCGGGGGGAAGGAGCGGGATGTCTTTACGCATGCGTATTAGGGTCATTGAGGTTGGTGACTGAGCTATGCGCGTGCTCAGTGCTATGGCGGACTTTTTTTTGTCGGTTGGGTCAGGGTCAGGGGGTCACGCGACTGCAGGGGTGTTGGCGCGCGGGCCGGAGGAAGAACCTTGAGTTAGCCAAGAGCGAGGTCGAGCGTGGGCCAGGCCTATGTAGGGGACCCTCCCTCATCAGGGCAAGGGGGCTGCCCCCTTCCCTGGCAGCGCCACACCACACAGGGGGCAGACAGGCAGAGAGCCCACGTAGTACCTGCCCGCAGAGGAGCCCAGGGGGCCTCTTCCCCAGTGTGCTGGAGGTGCAGGGGCAGCAGAGGCTTCCTACCTGATGTCTCTGAGGCGTTCACACACCCCTGCCCATGAACAGACCTGTGTGCCCTGTGCCCAGGAACGTGCAGGGGAGCCATGCCCACCTCCACCCCCATGCCCACCTACACGTGCCTGCCTGCCTATTCACCCAACCCAACTTACACCTGCCTGCCCAAGCCAGCCTGCCCATGCCCACTTACACATGCCTGCTGCCCACCCACATGCATATGCCTGTCCACCCCTGTGCACATATCCCAATGCACCTCAGCATAGGGGCAGCAACATGTGCTCTGGCATGCCTTGTGCAAGTGGAAACACAGCAGAGGGTGTGGGGTTTTCAGCAAGCCTTGAAGTCAATGCACCAACTCACCATCCCTCTTGCTTTGTCAGAGTTGCCTTTTGACTCCCACAAAGAGAGGCTTTGCCCTGCAAGCCCTGTGCCTCTATCAGGGAAGTCACTGTAGTGCCACTCGCAACAAGCAAGGTATCTCTCTTGCAGCTCCTATGTTGTTTCTAGGGAGGACAGGCCCTTGAAAGGGGCTGCCCTCAGCAGAGCTGAAATGGTGGCAGCATGATGGGAGGGGACATTGCTGAATTTACAGGCAAAAGGAGGAAAAAATGAGAGGAGTAAAAAGGAGCCTGAAAGGGGAAGTTAGCATGATAAGATGCCATGCATGGGGCCTGGATTCAATTTCTGGCCCCTTACCTCTTCACCTCTAGCAAGCAGGAATGACTAATGTTCCAAAAGTAGCATGCCAACACACATTGGGGCAAGGAGAGAGGGCAACCCAATATAGGCATATAGAGTTTTGTTGGTGGCCTTCAAAAAGCAGGCCCTATCTTGTTCTTTAATGAAAGATGTAGCTGCAATTGGGGGTCATAATAATAGTCCAATGTGGGGGAACTGTAAAGGCTCTGAAAAGGGGATGGAGGTGGAGAGATGGGAAGGTTTTCAGGCTTTCGTGGCATATGAAGTGCTTCTAGTTTGCATCAAATTGATGAAATTTTCAAGATTTTATGCTGATTATGCTTTATTGGTAGGGTGTCCAAAGCTATATGAGGTACTTCACTAAAGACATGAACCTGCTCCCAAAAGCTTTATGTAAATTTTAGATGTGACACAAGTGAATGGCAGACATGCAGAGGATCACAGCAATACAACTGTGGACACTTAGTTTAAGCATGTGCATGTCTTGGTGGTTCTGTAAAGATATTTTAAAAATAAACACAGTGACATTTAATTTTGGGTATCAGGTAAGAAATTACTTCAGAAGGTGGAACAAACTACATATGCATTTGGGCTGACTTTGGGGTAGTCCCTTAAAACAGAAGATTCTGTAACAAGCATGGTCTCTTTTATAATTTTCGCTGTATTCTCCAGGACAGCTGTTGTGAGAGGTAACTAAGCACAACTGGAAGTTCTGCAAATGTCAGCCTCAATCCCCCGTATTCACACAGTTCTCCCCATAAATGTCTTTTTTCACCCCCAACCTAATCTGTTCTGCAAGGTATCCTTATGACTGCATCATGACAAGACCTCAGGGAACTTGAAATAAAAACGGGGGCGTTTATATATATGCAGAACAAATTTACGAAAATGGTAGCTCTCCCTTAACAATGGATACATCCTTAACATATATGCAGTTGAATGCTGTCTAATGTGCTGAATACAATTTTTCAAGGGCTGGGATTGAAAGTTTCTGCAATATAGGTGGCACCTAGTCTATGTCTGCTACATTCTTAAAAAAGGGGCAAAGTGAATGGCTAGACCTGACACAGTACTCCAGGTTAATACATATCCTTGGTTTATATAATAATATTTTCAGTATTATTCTCTAGCTCTTTCTTCGTATACCCTAGCAAGTTTGCCTTTCTGATTGCCTCTTCACACTGAGCAGAGATTTTTTCAATGGTCATAATAATGGTCAGTCCCTTTCTTAAATGGTTATAAGTATCAGAGGGGTAGCCGTGTTAGTCTGAATCTGTAAAAAACAACAGAGGGTCCTGTGGCACCTTTAAGACTA